CTTTCTGTGTCTTTATCTATGTCTCTCTCCCTCTCTCTGTAACTCCATTGCTATATATAAACTTCTGCATTGCAGATGTCCCAGAGCCCTGCAGTTTTGGAAGAGCTGCTGAGGAGGCACAGCCAAAAATTTGGTTGCCTAATGCACACAGAGCCCAGGGGAGCAGAAACAGTCGACTGACTGTGCACCACAGGATGGAATAGTTACAGCATGACTGATCTATAGACAGTAGCACTGTCTATAGATACAACCTGCTGTACAGCATAGCTCAGCAATGTCTGATGTATGACACTGCAGCAAAACTGAAGTGACCCCCCCCACAGAGCAGACTCAGAGCCACTGCAGTCATAATCTTTGAGTGGGTGGGTATGTGAGTGAATGAAAGGGTATTTTTACTCTCATGATAATTTTTCTCTTCACTTCTTACACTCTTGTTTTAAAAGAACTAGTGAGTCAGGGGTAAATGTCTTGAAACATCAGGGATGAAGAGTGAATAATCACATCTTCAAAACAGCATTAGTCATACTCTGTGCTTATTCCAACATACCTTTTACCTTTGTGAAGGTTATTAAAATTGATTTTCATTAATTATATGTATTTTGATACCATTAAAAAACATTTAAACATACTTAAATTATAAATAAAACATTTGATGAAAGGCTTAGCCAGTTTTTAAAGACTATAATAAATATAAAATAGTTTAAAAAAATGAATAAAAATTTAACTTTAAGAACCTCTACATACATTAACATTAAAGTTCCGTTGTAATACATTTCAGGTAACAACATTAATTTAGTCCTACAAAAATGGTCATACTGGCAAAAAATAATTTCTTGTTCCTAGGTAATTAACCACAAAAAAACAAAAACCAAGTTACAGAACAACAGAGGTTGGAGAGGAATGTGCCAAGTGAGACATTATGAGGGTGCTAACTTGCCAGTGAAATAAGAAAATGTTGAGAAAAATGTTGAAATTACAGGGTGACAGTTGGAGAAAAGTGACTAATTTATTTGGTTTTAAATGCATGTTTCTTTAATTAGCACATTAACAAAGCAAATCAAAGTACTCTACATAAAATGCATTAAGACAGAATATAAAAGAAAGACAAGATAAAGAAACAACAAAATTTAAAAGCATTAAAGTAAAAAAAGGCATCCTTAAGGCAAGGTATGGATGAAGTGAGTTAGTTAATGCTAGTTAATGTGTCATTTAGAATCTAAACATCACCTGCACAAGTACCTGTAAAAACCTGGTGAGTTATTATTCACTGTGCACACAGATCATTATAATAATGCGTGGAAAGAAATATGAAAATAAATCATACAATTCAGTACAGAGGAACAATGGTGTATCCTATGTTTTAAATGTGTTAATTGGAGAAGGATTAGTCTCAGATGTTGTAGATTGTTGTCTGGGTGATGTCTGGAAGCCTACAGTAATCTGCGTCACCCCGATATAACCCTGCTCTATTCCACAGTCCTGTTATGCATTAGTGACCCAGCAGTATATGCATCTGAGACTATTGAACCCTCATTTAATGTGCGCCCTTCTTCTTTCAGTCCTCCTATATAAGTGCTGGCTTCTGTCCGGCCATAGAGCTGAAACACACACTCACATATTTACAGTGAGTTTTTGCTGCCACTTGCTGTTAAGGTTGCAAATTACAGTTTTAAAAACAAGAGACTACCACTATCACTGAGTTTTCTAGCCTTCAGTGAAAGATGACGGACTTTAAACTGAGTTTAGCCCATACAGTACACTTGTCTAATAAGTGATCCTCTAAAATAGCAAAAGCAAAGAGCAATTTGCTATTATGCAATACTTTATTTAGTCAAATAAAAACAGATATTGATGTTTTAAATATGGATGACGCAGAGGTTGAGTTGATTATTCACATATGTAATATTTAAATTTGCCAGCTGCTATGATCTGTATCTGGATTAAAAACTCAAACTTGTTTTAGCACTGTTCTTGTTTTTATTATTAGCATATGGTCATTTTTGTCCAGTTTGACCCTAGTTGTGTTTATCAGAATCAGATGAGAAAACGAGGTTTCAAATATCTTTAAGAAATGAGTTGGTGAAGCACTGAAGATTTTACATCTTACTTCAGTAATTTGTAGGTAAATACTGAGAGTATACTGGCCAAGATAATTCAAGAGCATTTAGTATTTGACTGTCAGACAGATGTGATTGATTTCCCCATTTTTCTTCTCAACTTTTTCCCATTTCATTCTCAGAATCTGACCTTTTTGTTATAGGTGGATTTATGGAGGAGACTCCAGTGATGTGTACAGTGACTGTTGTTAACAATAATGACTGCTGTAAATGTCTTAGTTCGGTTAAACTGAACTGAAAAAGCAGACAGCTTGGCAGAAAGTAGCTCCAAATAATGTTGAACTTGTCCAGATGGCCCAGTATTTCTGAAATAACATAATGCTCGTATGTCATCTTTATCATCATCATCTCAGCTGACTGCATGAGGTCCTGTACTGTAAACATCATCATTGCTGTTGTGGTGACCTTTTTGTGTGGAGTATTACTGGGCAAATTTCCCTCTAAATGTTACAGCTGTGGTAAGTCGTGGTCTTAAAAACATAATGTCAGTTGTTCCCATTCTCCTGTTACTTGAAGAAATGTTTTATTTTAAGATTTAACCCAAACTGCAATTGTTATTTAGCCTTTGCCATATTCTATAGTTAGTACACATGACTTTTGTAGGAATGGTTTACTGCAAAATGTCGAAAATTAACATTTAAAATCAGTTGTTGAACATTATTTGCTGAAATAGATGAAAACATTTTTGGTAGCAAGTGCTCGGAGCGCCTTCAGGAAAGACTCCAGCATTGTAGAGACACAGTGGAGGTACTGAAGTCCTTCCCAGCTGTGTTCCAGCTGTGTTCCAGCTGTCACTTGAGCTTAATACGGCACTCCCTGCCTCAGCAGCCTGTGAAAGCCTGTTTAGTGTTGCAGGTCTGATCTTCAGGCCAAGAAGGACAAGCACTGGCTCAAAGAACTTTGAGAATCAGCTGATTTTCCGGCTTAACAAAGGTTATTGGTAATTCTTTGTTGCATGTTCTGCACTTAACTGATGTAGATCCTGAGTACAAAATGTTTGTTAGATAGATTTGAGCATAGTACATACTATCAGGAAGGTATTAGGATTGAGTTATTTATTTTTTAATAAATCACTTGGATTAATCATTCATTTTGACAGCACATGTTTATTGTGTATTGACAACCATACAAGGGTAATTGTTACTAATCCTGCCCTGGGAATCCTGCCCTGCTACACCAATTTTCTCATCCATTGCCCTCACAGATTCCTACAGCTAAGCTTGGATGTACATTTACATTAATGTATAGGTTATTGATGACGTGACTCTGATTTTTGACTTTTGCACCATTAGAATACTTATACGTAACTAACTAGTCATCATATCTTCTGCTCCATGAAACACATGTTAATGCTCAGGAGTACACATATATTCTTTATCTTTAATGTATTTGCATTGTACTAAAATGCATTTATTTTCAATGGGCATATATGTGACTGAAATGGTAGCCTAGTGCATCTTACATTTTTCAATATTAACATTTTAATATAACATTTGTCATTACGGCCTTTAGAAAAATATTTTTTTGAGGAGGTGGGGTATGGCACAATATGGTCCGTATGACATAAGCTTTTGTCCTTAATGGCATTTTCCTTACATTACTTCCACTTTTATACTTTAAGTAGTTTTAAAACCAGTACTTTTATACTTTTACTTGAGTAAAAAGCTTGAGTTGATACTTCAACTTGTACAAAAGTCTTTTTAAACGCTAGTATTTATACTTCTACCTGAGTAATGAATGTGAATACTTTTGACACCTCTGGTGTGTGAGTGAGTGTATAGCATAATGTATGGCAAATTGTGTGTATAAAGAATAACATTAAATTGTTAAATTTGCAAAAGGCCTCATGTGACTATGATTTTAGTGCAAATGCTCACTGGGCACCTGAACATCACCAGGGAGCCACTGTTATGTATTGTAATAATCAGGTTATTAACATATGATTTGCAATATTTTACAGAACATAAAAGAAGCATATTACACATAGTTATATCTGATGTTGTATTGTTTTATGATTATGTAGCCTACAAATGCTCAGCAGTGCACACATATCACACAGCAGGTTATTTGTCTTGAATACAGCCCACAGCTCACATGATGTCAGAGGATGCTGATAGCAATGCAAAGTTAGATCAAACACAACTAAATATTTGGACACTAAACCTTAAAAATAAAAGCATTCATTTGATATGGCAAACTTGCACAGCAATGAATGCATGAGAGGTTTTTATGTCTCAATTCAAAAAGTAACTGTCATTTTAGAGACAAAGGTGAAAATCCAGGGTTGGCTATATAGGTGAATTTATGAAAAGGTAGCTGATGTAAAATGAAATATAAATAATAAAACAGTCACAGCAGACTCTACATGCCTTAAGAGACAGCATTTAACAGTCATCCATCATCTGTGCCTGGTAACTGCTTTTCGACATTTACTGTTAGACATCAGGTCAGATCCATTTAGACCTTTGTACCATGTCTGTCCAGGAACACGTGCTTCTACTGCAAATGTTCATAACTGGTCCAGCTGCTAGAGCACATCTGGAACATACAGGAGAGTAGTTTCCATTATCAGACAGTGCTTCTAAAATGCTGTACTTGTTGGTGTTTGTTGCTTTCTCCTAATGAAAAAAGCTTTAGTGAAAACACTTATTTGTGTATGATGCTGTATATTTGTTATTTTGATGTCAGTCAACATTGACTTTACATAGTCTACAGCTATCTTTACAGAGTTAGTTACAGGTAAACAAATTAGTGTAATCAAAACTAGTTAATACCAAATTAAATCTGGTATATTTTCATTTTTATTTACATTGAGCAACAGCAGTATTACATTCAAAAGTTATCAACATGGACTTTATTTTGAAAACTGGAAGTTGCCTTTATTTTTATTTCCGCGTGCCTGACACGACTGGGCTCTTCTTCGAGCGAAAAGTGTCGCTGTGCGTAATCTTGCTAGAAGCTGCGGAGGTCTGTTAGTTCAGGTAACGAGTTTTGTGTGTCGAAGCCGTAGGAGCTATCCCACTGGACACCGGGCTACGATCTGCTAAGATGGCAGAGCTGAGGCACCGTGGAGCCCGAGACACCGACCCCGCGTTACAACAGCAGGCGTCGGAGGACAAGGTAACGTCAGCCAGGACACGGTCCTGCCATTTGGAAGCGATGCTAACGCTACACATGTATCATTAGCTAGCTATCCTAAGGCATCAAGTTTGTGGCTTGTGTAGCCAAAGAGTCGTGACAATATCACTGTAAACCTGGCATGTTAACATTGTCTTTTATTTAGGCACCGGCACTTAGAAGAAAAACAGCTAACGCTAACTGTGCCTTAAACCCCGTTACAATCCATTGAAATGCGCTAACATAACGTTACAAACCGCCTGCCAGACTTACTACCCAGATTTCAGAGTGATTGGCTGATGCTGCTTATGGTCCTCCTGGGTCTGTTTACGTCTTGAAAACAGACAAACCATATGCAAAAGTAAACATTTGATTCGTATTAGCCCTGTTTTTCATTATGAGGTACACGGCGTCCTATAGAAGGACTTTGTTTACTAAAATAACCTGTAAGCTATATTTTATGCTAAGGAAATCAACATACATTTTGCTGCTAACCACATACACTTGGACACATCACCTAAGCTTTGATAAAGCCACAAGGGAAGCTCTCCGTGTTACTATCTCTAACTGCTCAGGACTCTTTGCAGCTGCTAACTATTTGTTTAAAGAACAGCATTAGCCAAAGTCAACTATTTACGACCATGGCTCGCACACATAACTTATCCCCTGCCCTTTTTGTCTATAAGGATGCTCAAACAGAAAACAAACGAATGTGTTACCAACATGGATGACGAAGTTGCTTTCCAGCTAATATCGGCGCCGAGAAAGGGGCGTGGTGGTGTGACGGATGTGGGGATGGATGTAGGTACCAGAGGACGTTATCACTGAAAACTGGAGGACTTTCAGCTACAAGCGGATGGGAAAGTAGTCGAGGCATTAGTTACATCGATACAACAAACAGAGGAGTGTCAGGGGAATGTTAATGTACTATTAAGCTCTCTTTGGTTGGGCTCTTTCTTTAATGTTTCATTCCTCTTACTGGTCTTGACGTGTTTGATAGAAGGTGGGCTGCTAACTGAAAATAGCTTTTATGGTACACTGTCATGTTATGGGCTTTTAACAATTAGGTATGGGGGGGGCTATTTGTTTTTGTATTAAATAAGATCTGAGTTATTCATTACTAATTATCTAAACTCTATTTTTCAATAGTTTGTGGATTAAAGGTCAGAAGTCAGTGGAATGCACAGCTGAGCCAGGAGTGACATTAACACATCTAGAGTGTGTACGTCACATCTTTCTGTTGTGAAGCCCTCCACCTGGTACAAATGCCAAGATAGGACCAAGATTTTAGTGTGAAATGTGGCCACACACAAGTGTAGATGTGGAAGCTATGGTAAATGTTTGTGCCACAAAAAGAGTCCCACAACATGATGCTGAAACTCAAGAAATAGTCAAATTTTTGTTTATTCACATGATCCCTGGAAGTTTCAATTTAAATGACCATCTGATCACATGTGGTCTTGAACATGTCAAAACAGTTCCTCTGACATCTTTGTTTCCTGTGAACTCACAGCACAACACAGCTGAAAACCTGAATGACAGACCTTCTCTTTTCCTTTTGCTTTACTTTCTGTGGAAGCTGCTCTCCTCTGGGTTTAGATTTCTGCCTAAAAGCTCTAAACCCCAGTAAAAGCAGGCTTGCACTCACCCTTTTAAAGCTTGCAGCTCTCATGATTTGGAGATAAACAAAACAGAGGCTCCCAGGGTTACCACTGGTATACCACGAGAGGAGGAGTGAAACATGTGTCTATTTTTAACTCAAGTATCCTGAATGACGGATATTGTTTCCATAGAAACCAGCAGGCGGAGAATGGGTCTGTCTCCACGTGTGTTCTTGTGCACGCTTCTACATTCAGTCGGTGGGTTCTGACAGCTGTGCACACTAGTTTGTAAGTGTGTCATGTAATTGGCAGGAAAGTCAGTTTCCAAATGTTAGAAAATGTGCAGTTTTGTATCTGTTAGCTTATTTGATTCAGAGAGATGGGGTGGCCAGACAGGGAAGTGTTTTGTGACACAGCTGTTACGATGTGGTCCTCAGGCTCAATATTATGTCTTTCTAAAGAGCCAAGTGCATTAGTGCAGGATGGTATTATTGCCACACGACAAAGGGTAAAAAAGAAAGAAAAATGCTTTGTTTTATTCTGAAATCTTTCTAGTTTCAGTGAGATATTTTTCACAGTAAAACATTCCCATTATGTGACTTTTTTTCATGAGTGATAGTCTATATGTTGTTATAACAAGTAGTTTCATGTTATAAATAACTATAGTGTGACAAATATCATCTGTTCTCAATATGAAAAGGGTCTTTTTAAAACAAGACATCTTTCTTGTTATAATGCTGCTGTAGAATCGGTATATAACATTATTGTCAAGTTGATCTACAGTCAATAGTTTATACCAAACTATACAGTGCTGTCATTTGGCAGTGATGCTCTTTTTTTTTTGTCTTGTGTTATAAATTCAGGTCACCTTTTTCCTTTACTGCAGTACGCTGATCGCTAAAAGCTCAAACTCACTCCCAAACAGGCTGTAGCATGTTTAGTTCAGCCAACGATTCTACACAACAAGATAGTTATTGCTAGCAAAGCCTATTAGCATCCTGTCACACACAGAAGAAGAACCAAAAGAGCTAACTGACAGGAATTACAGCAGAAATTCCTTAGGTTACCACTGGAAATATTGTTAACATCACTTATTTGATTTACAAATTTGATTTGATTTGATTTGATTTATTCATTCAAGCATGTAAAACAGTTGATATGTCAACACATGTAATTTCACACATATCCAACAATAATAATCCAATATCAATTTACTTATACCTAGTACATGCTTGAACGAAGTAGGAAGAAGTTAGACTTATCTAGTCCTACCCCATGACATCATCTTACAACTTTTAAGTCCTAAGCAATATCTCTACATAAACAATTATCCTCTACACCACACA